TCCGATAGGCAGTTGATTCTGCAGGATCACTGTCCGATTGTATAGGGATTTCATATGGTGGTATATTGGATTAGGATGCTCCACTGACATTGTGTATGCGTGCAGCCTGTCGCATGCGTGCTGCTCCATTGTTGTGCGTGCGGGTTGCCGCTTTCTGTTATACGAGTCGTTCGAGTGGATTACTACTAGCAAGGATCTGTCAGTTGGTTCTTACCTGTATACTTGTCTTCCGTGTTGGTAAATCTACAATATGGCGACACCTGACTACACTAAGTTGGTCCCACGGGCCGAAGATTTCGAAGACCAGGATTTATGGGCCGAGTTGACTCAGTTGGCTAAGGATGCTCGCTTAGACCGGATTAAGCAGACCTTATCGAATTTCCGTCGCAAGAGAACTCTGGCTCATAATGTTGTTAAGGATACTCGTCGTCAGATCGCCGAGGAGCACCTTGAGGGTGTTGAGGGAGCGGAGCGCCATCAGACCCTTACATATCAGACAGCCGTCTGGACCGATGCGAATAAGGCCTGTCGAGCCCTCGAGAAGATAGAGGAGGCGGTGGAGTATGCTACAGTATTCGACGTGTTACCGGGGACGGTGGGGAGCGATGACGAAGGGTGGGTAACGACCAGCTCGAACCCGCCCGCAACTCCACCAGCTCTGCGTCCTGTGGAACATCGAGGAGAGGACAAGGCTAAAGAGGAAGGTGGAATCATGCATGCGACCCCACCGTTGGCCCCTGAGGTGTCTACCAGTAAGGCAATCACCGCGCAGACTATTACTAAGATTGACTTACCCAAGCTCAAGGACAAGTTCTCCTTGGAACATCATCTCCGATTATGTGAGAGAATGTTAGAAGAAGCGGAGGTGGGGCGCAGGATAGGTGACGACTTCTTCCCGGTATCACGCTTGCAGTTGAATGTTGTTATGAAGATTTTGGGGACCCTTGGGCAGCATAAAGATATCTTCGACCTGGCCTCTGATACAGCCGAGCAGTATGATCATGCGTGGGGTCCCGTTAAGAAGGTTTTGCTGGACACTCATGCAAAGCGCGAGACCCTCATCGAGGAGTACCGTAGCAGCATTCTTCATCTGAAGTACTCCGATGTCGACAAGTTCTGTGCTGAGGCAAGGAAGCTCCACTCGAGGATGATTAGGCTTTTTGGGCCGCAGAATAGTTATGAGAAGCGGGGGTTTATCGAAAGCCTAGTCAGCCGGTTACCGACACAGAGAGCGGCGTCTTTGATCTCCGAAGTTCATCGTGTTGCTAACCTCGGTGCCTACTCACCGGACTGGCCTATCGCGGTCAGCTTCGATGGTTCGGATCAATCCTTACTGAGCATTCTCAATCGCCTGGAAAGACAGGAAGGAGCGGTTCGAACCTTGAAAGTTGTCAGCAAGGTGGATGCTGCTAGAATGGTTGAAGCCGAGGAGTACGAGTTGAAGGTGGCAGGGCTGGCCGAGAAACAGACCGGTGGATTGAAGCATGAGGTAGGTGGACAGAGACCACCAAATTCTGCGAAGACCTGGAGCTCGCAGTATCCAGAAGAGTCTCTTATTAAGGTGTACGAGTGTTGGGGTGACATGCTTAAGGCCAAGGTCCCGGAAATGATCGGTTCTTTTGCGCTGAAGACTCGGTTTCGGCGTAATCCCATTTTCAGGATCGTTGCCTTGAAGCAAGGAATCGGCCGTGATGATGTGATCTCTCGCTTGAAGAGTGAAGGAATCCGTGCCGAAGTGTTTACCCCTTTTCAGTAAGCCCTGAGCAAGGCCCAAAACTACTCACGTCTGGAGTAGATAGCTTCCAGTGCGACATGAAGTCATTGCAATCTTACCAAACTCTCGCCGCTTTGTCCAAGCCGGAGCAAAGACGTGCTTTGGTACCACCCGCTTTCTTACTTGACTGCCGTTTGCAAAAGGCTGGTGGAGAATGGATGGAATGCAGTGCCTTGCTGGATACTGGATCAGGCCTTGATTTTATTGTATTATATGATCCGGAGAGTAATCTCCATTATCAAAGTGAGGGTGTTTGCAACGTCAGAGTGCGGTTGGCAGGTGGGTCGGTGTGCGCAGTAACACGCTGGATCGTTTGCACAATGCAGATGTGGCAGAACAGGGAGTGGAGCACCGAGTTTCATCGTCGATTCTATGTTCTTCCGGCCTTTCGAAAGACTCCATCGTGTGCACTTGCGGAGTCAGTATTCTTGATTGCGGGCCGAACGTTCCTGAGAGACTTCCAAGTGACAGTGCTCGGTGGCGAAGGACAAGTCCAGCTTCGGGGACTGCCTGTGGAATCGACCTATTGCACCTCTCTGTGTCTGGTATCTGGAGCTGTGGTTGACCAGGTGGGCTGGGACCAGAACCTATGTGCTTCGTCTGAGGATGCTTACACGCTCTCACCTGATAGGCTTATCCTGGACACCCCTCCAGTGGACCAGGACGTTATTTATATACCCGATTCTGCGCGTCGCTTTGCTAAGGCAGCGTATGATCGTCTCAGTCCAGATCAGCAGAGGGCTTTCGACGACATCGTCGATGACTACGAAAGACGCGGCTGGTGGGTGCGCCGCACTGAAGAGGAGATTCGTTCAATGACGGATGCCGCTCTCGACCCTGCGGTCGTGTTTATGGTACCTGGTGGGGACAAGCGTCGCGATCGACTGGTTGTCGATCTGAGGCGAGCTAACAAGCGCTTTGAGAAAGGATCTGGTTCGTCTACCACGGTGTCTCTGTGTATAGCCGCGGCGCGGCTGAGTGGTTCCGGAGTGTGCTGGGTCTTCGACGCGGCCAAGGCTTTTTATAAGCTTAGGTGGGTGGGGCTTATGGCTATCTTGATGGTCAAAGAGTTCCTGTATACCAGCCGACGATGCATCTTTGGTGTAACCACGGGGCCGGGGAGCCTTCGGCACACTATGGGTGCTTTGGTCGATGATTTTCGAACGATGGTGAATATCGCTATGTTGATACTCTGTTTTGCCGACGACGTGTTCTGCGGTGGGATTCAAGGGGCTATAGCGGTGTGTTGCCTCATTTGGGTATTGACGGTATGCGGCTTCGCTATCACCACCAAAAAGTTCCAGTGTATGGCTCTTCTGGAGTGCCGAGAGCGTGTCAAGGAGGAACTGGTATCTCACGGTTTGCCGGCAGACATTTTTCGATGGTCAGACACAGTGGATCTTCTCGGGGCCACCCTGCGATTCGATCAGTCCGGCACATTGTTATTGGCTAGCTGCAATCGTCAGGAGAGGCTCAAGGCAGCCCACACACAAGCTGCCCGTTTACTGGCAGCACTGCAAGATCCGGCAAAGGCAGGCGTGTCGAAGGCTTTAATCTTCTCTCTTGGTGGGAATCTCTCCTATGACTGCGTGGGCTGCCATGCCATTGACCGGATTGTCGCCGATTCTATGAGGAGCTGGTTCGCGAGTGTGTATGCTTCTGAAGAATGGACCGTACCGTGCGACCTCTCCCGGCTTGATGAAGTTGGTCGTGCCACGGCTTTCGCACTCGCTGAATGGGCCACGGAGTTGACGGCCTCCCCACAAGAATGCCATCATGCTACCCCGGTCAGAGGTGCTGGGGATCCTATAAGAATAGAGGTTGCATCTGATGCAGCAACTACTGGTGCAGGATATGTGATCCACATCCTCAAAAAGGTCCCGGGTTCGGAACATTCGCAGCGGTATCTCATAGGCTCGGGGGCGTGGCGCTTTACGGCTCAGCAGAGGCACTACCATAGCAACCGTCGTGAATTAGCGGCCTGTTGTAAGGCGCTACAAGCCGCTGTTGACATACTTTCGCATTTTGCAGCGAGTATGGCTGGACCGCTGCCACCTCTAGAGTTTACGGTATGTTCTGACAACAAGCCCACGGTTGCCTGGCTCCAGGGCAGGGGGTCTATCTCTCGATCTTCGTTAGAACGCCGAGCTGTCGTGCGGACACTGAATGCTATGAAAGATGAGATCGATCATTTGAAGGCTCTGACGAGAGGTGCCGTGGTGGTGAAGCATATCGCAGGGCAGGAGAATGTCTTGCCAGATGAGCTGAGCCGGTTGTTTGATCGGTTTATTACCTTGCCCTCTGGAAGACGGATTTCCCTTGCCGATGGTTTGCATGGTGACCTTGATGATATCGCCGGGTGTCCCGATGTATTTGACGAGCCAGGAAGCGAGACTTTGGGGGCTAACTGGCTTCTAAGTTCGGAGATGGAGGGCTATTTTGCTCAGTCCACATGGGAGGAGGGTCAGGAGAATGATGATGTTGTTTCGATCTTTGCTGCTATGCCGACGAACGATTGCCTCCTGAATAGCTATCTTGTGGACGACCCCGAGGACGTGGATGCCGAGCCCATTCTTCAAACCCTCTGTGCGGGTAACTGGGACCTCGGTGGGGTGAGTGCAGATTTTCTCTTCTTGCGAAGAATCTTCAATGCGCTGAAGCCGGCAGCTCGACAAGAGAAGCTGGAAGAGCTTGAAGAGAAAAATGAGGAATGCCTTATTCGGTCATTGCAGGATGATATGGACGAGCCACCTCTTCGGTCGTCTGGACCCTATTTACGGGAGGCCGATTCCGGTATTTATGTCTTCCGCAATGGTACTGCAGATGGTGGATATGTCTTGCTTCCAGTTGTTCCTCGAAAGGGTGCCAAATGTCAAGCTTTCCGTACGAAGCTGTTGTTCGACGCTCACCGGGCTAGCAAACACAGTACAGTGGCGAGCACCGTCAGTAACGTGTACGACAAGTTCTTTGTGCCCAACTTGCGTGCAGAGGCACGGCGCTTCGTGAAGAGTTGCTTCGCCTGTCAGCTGCTGAGAGCCCGAAGAACGTGGAACCAGGTGCCTGGTGGGGGCCCGAACCGTGATCAAGCTTTATCTTGGGAGCCTTATAGGGAAGTCTTCATTGATATCCTCGCTCTCGGAGACATTCGGGGATATAAGGGTACCACCAAAGTACTTACGGTGTATTGTTTGCACACCTTTCATTCAACTTGGGTGCCGACCGGCGAGTCCATGAGAGACATTGTTTCTGCCCTAACTAGAGTCCAGACGGAGCAAGGAGGTCTGAGCCTTATGTGGTGCGATCAAGCTTCTTATTTTCGAACCGCTAAGTTCTCCGAAGGGGTGCACCGCACTCTTGGTGGAAGGACTGAGTTGCTTCCGGTGCGTTCCCCATGGAAAAGCGGGGGTGGAGAGCGTATGCATGGTTTGGGTCTTCGCATTGCTAAGATGCTCTTGAGAGGGCAGGCTGGTTATGTGGGTCGTAAGCGTGTTCGTCAAGCTCATGTTGATTTGGAGGACATTTGCCGCGAGGTCACATTCTTGCTGAACACGAGACCGTTAGACTTCTCCAATTCTGATGAGCCCTCCGGCGAATGTGTTGTTGTAACTCCCGATCTTCTGGCTAAGGGGTTCACTAGGAAGCGCGGGTGTTTGTTACCTGCTGCTTCGTCATCATTTCCTATTACCCGTCGCTTGAAAGCGGCTCGTCAATATTTCCTTACTAATGTATTTCGAGATATGCGCCTTGCTGTGGCGAAGTCTATGGGTTATGCCAGCTCCCGTGGTAAAGTGTTGAAGATTGAGCAAGATGCCCCGGTGCTGATCTACCATCCTGAGAAAAAATTGAGTCCTGGCTTTCGTTTGGCTCATGTAGTTTCGGTGCTTAAGGAAGGTCGTTTGATCAGAGTCCGCTTCGTCGATGGCTCAGAATCTGAGCAACATCATTACAATGTTGTTCCGTTGTTGCATAATCACACGCTGTCGCAGCAGAGGGGGCGTATATTGGATTAGGATGCTCCACTGACATTGTGTATGCGTGCAGCCTGTCGCATGCGTGCTGCTCCATTGTTGTGCGTGCGGGTTGCCGCTTTCTGTTATACGAGTCGTTCGAGTGGATTACTACTAGCAAGGATCTGTCAGTTGGTTCTTACCTGTATACTTGTCTTCCGTGTTGGTAAATCTACAATAGTATGAAGGTTATCCGTATCTCTAACAGTCATACGGGTTATACATTGGTACGGGGATGTATTACTAGTTGTATCGATTCCCTTAGACTGTTAGTACGCTATGGTAGCTATATATCGGTTGATGGGCACGGTTTGAGTTATTAGTCCTTATGGATGGGTGTGAATAGATCTCTACTGTGCTGCTATAGCATGGTTTGAGAGCTTATCACTGGTACCGTGGTAATCGCGTTTGTCGTTCTATTCGCACTGATTTGAGAGTTCACCGCGTCGTGTCGCTTGCGATAAGTCCGTTACGGTTTACTTCAAGTAAGGTGCTACTAACTCTAGTCGCGCACAGCAACAACAGTGAGTGCTACAATGATAGAATGGCAGACTCCAAGGACTGCTGTAGGGATGTGGAGCACCCCAGCAGTACGATTTTTTTTCTTACCCTTGATACTGGGGGACTAGAGATGAGGCAGTTGACTCTGTGACTAATGCTCGGGTAGCTTATTCACATCAGTTCGCTGACTCATCCTCTGGTCAGTAT